TCTCTTGGAAAATACACACACTCGGGCACTCGCACAGCGACCGCAAAGGGCAGCAAAACGCAGAGAGAGAGAGAGAGGGGGGGGGGGGGTGCATAAGAGAGACGGTAAAAACAAATACTTATATGTTCATATGTATATAGATGATATATATGTATGTATGTATATATACTTGCTCACAGACATACAAATAAAGATAAACAATGCAAGCTCGCAGCTGGAAGAGAATGCAATTGCGAGAATGCATAACGAAATTTGTATACACTTTCCTAACATATGTACATACGCAGCTTGAAAACTGAAGTATTAACTGGTATTTATTACTTATAATATATTTATAATTTTGAAAAGAATTTGAAAAAAAGAGAGAGAAATAATACAAATTTCGCAAAAACAAATATTTTAGTTGCCTTTAACTAATTCTAAGTAACTATTTTAGCTGTGAATAATTTCTGTGATTAAAAAAATAATAAGAAGAAATATAGATCTAATATTTAAGGTCTATATAAAAACTAATATATGATGATATAGAAGTAAATATATACGTAATATATCATGTTTAAGCTATAATAAAAATCTAATTATTCAATTAATTTCCAGTTTAAATGTAACAACATTTTAGCTTAACTGTAATGCTCATTTTTTGGCAAGGGTATGCGCATATCAAATATCTTGTGTATTTTTTTTTTCGATGATATACTTGTGGAGTGTACCATATTATGGAAATGAGTATATGTAAATAGGCGTAGGTGTATGTCAAAGCTATTAAGCACAGTATTTATGCAGATCATATATATTCTTGGTCAGCATGATAAGTTACAGTGCTTATGTATATGCAGACTAATCTATGAGTTTGGTTATTGAGTTATATTAAGCTATAAATATGCCATAAATGTTCATATAATAGATATGTGTGTGACGGAAACGGCTCGATCGTAAAACTTGACTGGAACAATTAAGAGTAAATCGATAAAACATGCATTCAATTAGTTTTCATGTAGAGAATTCCAAAAAAAATAAATAAATAAATATGTAAGATATGCACGAAAAATAGAATTATTAGCAATATGAAATACAATCTGCATGCTTAGGGCGTGGATTTAACGAAACGTGTGAAAAACGTCTTTATTCACTCTCTACGAAGATCTTTTCAAAAATGAATCGAAAAGAGAGCGGATATGGCAGCCCGTTTGATAGCAAGGCAAGGGTATTCTTTTATGTTTGTTTACATTTCATATAAGTATATACATGTGCATATGTGTGAGCGAGCGTTTCTCTATGTATGTGTATGTGTGTGTGTGTGTGTGTACAAGCGGTCAAATCAACGCTGCTTTTGCCGCTTTTGAACACTGACCTACGCATATTCATTCGTGCCACTTGCGACAAGGGACGCGCGACGCTTTCCGTTTGATTGCGCAATTTGTGAATCAAACTACAATTACACACAGAAAAAACAGCGAGAACGGCATGCCGAACTTGAGATACTCTTGCTTAAAAGATAGTTTGAAAAGAAGATAATATTTAAGTTAGGTTGGATTGCAGTTATGCATATAAAAACAGACCAATTCTTTCAAGTCTTAAAGTAAGCTTTTTGCTGATTTTGGCTAAAATCGAATGCGAGCGATTCTACTATTGAGCTATATGTTATAGTAGTCCGATCTTGATTAGCCTTGGATAATGTCTGGGTGATACTGATTACGAATATATATGTATATATAAATACAAACGTATATCGAATCACATAGGCGTTACATAATTCACGACAAAATAGATAAGCTCCTTGCAAGGGTATCACAAGTGCAGCACTTGTAATTAGACAAACAATTGCGAATGCGAGTGGCTGGAATAGCGAAAAGGGGGCGGGGGTATATATGCAAGAGGCTGCCGACTGAGAGAGAGAGAGAGAGAGAGAGAGAGAGAGAGAGCGAGCTAATTAAACGCAGTTCAACTGAGCGCCGCAACAGTCAATTGGCAGCGAAAATGCGACACGGCATAATCATGATATGCCGCGTTCCTCTGCCCGCCCCGTCGACGGCCCGCACCTTGACATGCTCCCCGACTGTCGGCAAGGTTAAACTAAAAATAGATATGGAGAATAACATGGCAAATAGCAGCAGCAGCAACAACAACAGCAACAACAACAACAAGTTGCAGAGCTGCGGGTATTTATAGCAACAACAACAACAACAACGACAACAACAAAAACGTCGACGACGACTGTAAAATACTCGAATAAATGAAAAACCTGAAACGATATGAAGAAAGAAGCGCTTGACTGGACACGCCGCAGCCTTAATACTCTTTACGATGTTTTTCAATTCAATTTAATAATATATTTATAGATATGTAAATACATATTATGTCTAATACAAGTTAAAATAAGAATTATAACAGTTTTGAATTTAAGCTCAAATATCTATGGAAACTCATCAAAATTCTCGATTCACAATCTGTTTATCTTAATTATCATCAAAATTAATGCACCGATAAACATATTTATAAATGTTTCTTCTACTTGAAACTGTTTTATTTTCGAATTTTAACGGCCATTTTTAAGTTATATTTATTAAATATTTTATATTGAAAATTTGTGTATGAACACTTTTACGCGCATGACAAACAATGTGCTGTAGCCTGTAATGGCCCTGGTAAGGGTAGATGAAATGAAAAACTTGAAAATGAAATAAAAATAAAATAAAAGAAAAATTCAATTAAATGAAAAAAATAAAATTAACAAAAACAAAAAAAAAAAAAAAGCGTGGCAACGTCAGCATCGACGCTGCAGTTGGCGTCGCAGTTGCCGCTATTTGGCCCAGTTTTAAGCTTTGGCAACTTAATAGGTCAAATTAATTGTCGTGTGCGATGCCCCAAAACAAACGGAATTCATTTCAGAAACTCACACGCACACACACAGCCAGACAGACAGAGACGCACACGCACACGCACACACACACACACACACATACAGGCGCGCGCGCAGCCTGTAACGAAAGCTGCGACGTCACAGCGAAAAGCTTTACGTGCCTCGAAACACTCGTCGCTGATAAAATCAAAAAAACCAAACTGTTTCTCAGTGTTGGCTAACGTTCGAACTTTCAGTTTCTGGCCTTTTGGGCGACAATATTGATCTGCGTCCAAAGGGCGGGACGCAACAAATCGTGCATTAAACGCCTTCTATGGCCTCCTCACTGATAATGTGATTATGGATAGCCAATGACAAATGCCCAAGCCCTTAAAGCTTGACGTTCAAGTCGACTCTACATATGTACATATACATATATGTACATACATATATACATATATACAAAATAGTGCTCATTATGTGCGATAGCATTTTCTACGAAAGCTGAGAGTTTCTAGAGCCAGACGAGATTTGAAAAGGGTGCGAAGTTGGGCACATATGCATGTGTAAGAATTTTGGGTTGCTATGAACTTAACAACACACACACACACACACACACACACACACACCCGTCCCTTCCCACCCTCCATTCTCACACCCAATTCAACTTTGGACACAAATTTCGCATGTTCTTAAGATTTTCGCAAGTTTGCACTCAAGCACTTGAGTACCTACACACATACATACATGCATACGTATGTATATGTATAAAAATGCGTATGCTTGTGTATGTGTGGATTAGTATGTGTCAATCTGCCGTTAAGCATGTTAAGAAGCGCATCAGAAAGAAGAAATACTGCAAAAAATGTTACTTGCCGAAGACTGAATACCCTTGCATACAAATAAATGCAATGGCAGACATGTTACAGTGGTCAAACTTTGTGAAATATGTGCTCAAAAAAAGTTAAGTAAATATTAAAAAAAAAACCGACTTTATTAAAGTAAGTCATAATATAAACTGCAAATAAATAAGTGAAGCTGAGACTAAGAAAGTCAAAAACCAACTATTATATACATATGATACAGTTGCCAGATTTCAATAAGTTCATCTTCTTTTTAATATCTAAAACGTAGTGAGATTTTTCAAGATTTTTTGCAAAGCATAATAAAGGGTATTAATGCAGGAACTTAATTTCCGACCGATCACTCATATCACAAATACAAATACATTGTGATTCGGTGACAACGTTTTGATACCCCCCCCCCCCCCCCCCCCACTCTATCCGTCACACTATTCATTAAAAAGGACGAATGGCTTGAATACTTGTGTATGTGTATGTATGCGTGCTTGCTTATTGTGTGTGTTTATAATATTAATCAATAATAACAAATATTTGTAATCGAAATTATCAACAATTGGCAATTCAATAAAATCATCATATTTCCCACCATAAACCAAATCAATCATTTTTAGCTTGATATTCGGGGCCATCAGACCCACGTGACGTATGTACATATGTATGTATGTGTGTATTTGTATCCACACATACATACATACATGTGTACATACGTGCAGGGCTATATGTATATTAAACATTTGGTTGGCGGGGCGCGGAGACAATGGGAAATATAACAACAAAAACTACGCCGTTAACAAAAAATTTCAACAATACATATTTCTTATAAGAATTAAAAAGAAGGTCAGACAGCCACTGAAGTCGCTGTCGGCGTCGCAGCCACAATTGACATTGTCAACGGCGACTGCGACGTCAGGTGAACGATTTAGTAACTGCATACATGCGATAAGCACATAATCAAATTGATATCCCAACAATTAAAACGATAATAAATAACAAAAAAAACAAACCAACTGTAACAACAACAAGCGCTAAGTATCACAGCATAAGGCACAAAGCCTAACGGAACGTGCAACAAGCCCGTAGCCGTGACAGGGGTACAACGGCAGCTTCGTAACTCACCACACCAAAAAAAAGAGAGAGAGAGGGAGAGCGTTCAAAAACCACCACACTGAGAGAACTCTGCCGACGACAACGACGACGCAGCCGACGACTCGTTGGCTGGCTGACAAACCGAAACCGGCTTTGGTTATAAATAAACCTTAACCATGCTGGTATTTGGCTTTCGAGTCTCTAGCGGTGCAGTAGCAGCAACAGCAGAAGCGAGCAAAACACAAAAGCAACAAACGGCGTTCAGCGAAAAACACGAACATACCGAAACCGAAGAAACCGCTGTGAAAAGAAAATACAAAAAAAAAAAAAAAAAGACCAGACCAAACAAAACATAAGCAAGAAAAATTTACAGGCACTCGGGCACAGACGATTTTTGTACATTGTTGTTTTAATTCAATTAAAACACAAATTTGTGCTCCTATTTGCGCATTTTAATTTTTATTTAACTGCAGGCAGCATTTTGATTAACTCTAGTGCAAAGCACTTGTGCTCTATTTTTTTTTTTTATTTTTATTGTTGTTGCCCCTTGCAAAGGAAATTCTAATTGGAACAATAGGCCTGAGGCAAAACAACGATAAGCGGGCGTATACAAAACAAACGAGAAACGTATTAGAAAGAAAATTATATTAATAAACAACAATAAAAAAAAAAACGAAAGAAAAAGGGGAAGAGAAAAACGCGCGCGCACTGCAAGTGTGAATTAGTGAAAGTTACGCGCGCGTGTGCAACGACACACCGGCCACGCCCATACCGCCAAAAACGCCCACACAATGAACCGATCAAACAGTTTTGTGAGCTCACTGAAATGGTGGCCACTGCAGGGCCACAACAATCAGGCAACGCCAGCAGCGCCATCGAATGGCGGCAGCGCCGGCTACTCACAATCGGCGCCCAGCTCTCCCACATCCAATTGGCCGCCGTCGCTGCAGCAGCAGCACAAGCTGAGCGTCGGCGCCAATGTGAACGCAACATTTGGCAGCAGCGTCGCCGTACAAAAGCTGCGTGAATCCAAATGGTTCAAGCCCGAAGAGCAGAGAATTTTCTGCGCCGTCGTCGAGTGCGGCTTCATTGTGGAGGTGCGCAGCAGTGCCGCTGCCGAAGCCGCTGCCGTTGCTGCCGCGGCTGCCGCCGCAGCGGCCACTGCCAATGATGCCGATTCCCTGGACATCGATTGCCCGCCCCTGACATTGGCGCCGCCACTGATTATACCACGTAACGGCAGCAGCAGCATTAGCTTTCTCGAAGCGCAGGATGAGAACGAGACGCCGGTAGCGTCATGGTACGGCATCGTACTCTGCAAGGTGGCCAAAGGTGAGTACAGAATGTATGAGGCGACAAATGAGAGCAAAAGCTCCCGTCAAACTGTTTTCGTAGCGTGTAAAAAAGTTCACATATCAATTGGTTCGTTCTATTGTGTAAAATCACAAGAGCTTGAATGCGAATTTACAATTCTTTTAATTTTGTTAATTCTTATGGCCCATTTAATTGGCTTTTGGTATTGTACTTGACCCAAATAGAAGTAGCAAAAAAGAAGTGCTTGAAAATTGGTTTTTCAATTCGTTGATGATGATTAATCATATGGCAGACGTCAGAGCAATTAAGCTAATCTCACAAGTTTGGCAAATACTGATATTCCAAAACGACATTCAATAAAATGTATATGTATGTACATATGTATGTATACTATGTACTATATAGAAACGCGCTTTTTTTTTTATCTAATCGACGACAACAACATTGTCGAGTGCCGCCTACAAAAACAATGGACATTTCTTAGTTTTGAAGAGGCAGCAAAACAAAGCGCCAGCAGCGCAGCAGCAGCGAACTTTGCGACGTCGCGTTTTGCACGCACGCACTCACAAACACAAACACACACACATATATATATATATATATATATATGTATATAGGCATACATACATGGCATACAATGTTTCGCTCGCACTTGCTGCACCAACATGACCATTCACAATGCTGCGCTGACAGCTGCCAGAACATTCCATTTGTATGTGTGCGCAGAGCGAACACAAAATGTAAACAACACGACGAATATTTAAAATACAGCCGACAATACGCGCCTGTCATAGGCGGCAGCATCATGTGCTTTGAGTCACGCATGCAGCGTTTTTGTTTCTTCTTTGCTTTGCTTCTGTGCCGACCGCACGTCCGCCTGCTTTTGGGGACAAACAGCAGCAAACAGTCCCCGCCCGGTCTTGTGATGCGTGGTGAGCATTTTCAAGTGCTTTGCGTTGCTCTTCGCCTCAAAAGCTCGCTTTACGTTGGCATTCACCACTGCGAGGGCGACTGTTGCATCTCGTGCCGCGAACAAAATTCACCAGATTCTGTAGTGGGTGTAAGCGCTCGTGTGTAAATAAGTGTGGTGTATGTGTGTGTGTGTTTTTCTGCTATGTCAGGAAAGCTTTTGAGTTTAATTGCATGCCTTGTGGTGTTTATCCTGAATTTTGTAACTGGCATGACGAAACAAGTTGATATGAGTAAGCACACATACACATGCATACATGCACACATAGATGCATATGACAAATCTTATGAGAATCCCATAAGAATCTGTCACTCGTTTAGCATTTTACTGTTAGCTCACCTCTTATGGGCAAACAAACTTCATGCATGCATACATATGTGTTTATATATACATGTATGTGTGTATGCATAGACAAAGATGCACTGATAAGCACCGTTGCGCTCGCGATTAACAAATTTGAATGGTGTAATTGCTGCATTTGAATAGAAGCGTTGATAAAGCGCCCCGCGATGACGTCATAAATATAACGCTTATCTGTTTCGCTAGAATGAGACTTATCGCATAGAGCACACACAAAGCGTCCCCAACAGGTGCCGCTTTGTAATGCGTTCAATGAACCAAAAAAAAAAAATAAAATAAAAATCAAAATAAACATTGACGTATTTAAGGATTATGAGCAATCTGTGGATGAGCTCACTACAAGGTGAATTCTTCGCCTTGTTACGGCATTTCAGTGCTGTGTAATGATGAAATGTAAACATGGATGCCTCTGGGCTTACAAGACAGCGGCAGTGTTGTAAAGCAACAGAAGAATGCACCCGCACACGGCCCCACAAGTCACCCACACCTTTTGGTAAACAATTTAAAATTCGTGCAAATTAGTTGCGCATGGCAAATGCTTAGAGCCATTAAAAACAACAACAAAATAGAAGAGTGAAAAAAGGAGCACCAAAGTGTGAAATATTAACGTTGTTAATTATAGATGATTAATCCCCATGTCATTCATAAAACAAAACAATTGCGCAACAACTAAAACAAACACAATAATTATAGATCTGATGCTTCGATAATAGTTATCCAATTTATGATATAATATGGCTGCATTATGCAAGTATACAAAATGAAAATATTAGTTAGATATTGAATGATGAGCTATCATCTAGTTAGGAACTTAAGAAACCGCCATGAAAACGACTTGCATAGTTGCATGTCATGCATGTATTGATCAGGCGCAGCCAACTTACTGTCAAATTGGAATCTACAATTGTTTTCCAACACTTTTGAAAGTAGAAATAAAAAAAAAATAGAGCTTGAAAAACATTTCAAAAATTCTAATCTAGACTTTTTTAAGTTCTTAGACGTGTTTTAAATATTTCCAAATTTGCAGACATTATGACTTTATGTGAATTGAAAGAATCAAAGCATTCTCTAATAGTAATACTCTCTTTGCTAGAGTATACGTATGTCAGGCTGTAAAACTTGGCTGTTTTTATCTTGACACGTTGTACCATAAAATATATTTCGTTCATTTGTGAAATAAAATATTCCCAAATATAAAGATGTCGAGCCAATGACTTGCATTTAAATGAAAAAAAAAAGCCTGCATTACTTGATTAGAGTGTGACCATAGTTAAATAGGAGTGCACTTCAACGGCCAGTGTTGTATAACACATAATAATGATTTAAATGCTGAACCTAAACGAACCAATTGAGAGATGAGGCATGAGTGCAGAATGCACCTGAGAATTGAGATTGTCATATTGAATTGTTGACAATTGATTGTCAATATATGTAACTATTAATAATATACTATATAATACACTCGTTTGACAGACAATAAACCAAAACCGGAAACCATTGAGATATATTCTGTGAAAATACGCGAAAATGGCACATACAAGCTGATCAAAATGTCATTGGCCGACATCTGGAGCCACGGCTGGGAGTTGCGCATTAACAATTTCGCTGACAAGGAGAAGACACCGCACAACGAAAAGGACATACGCAATCAGGTAAGCTATCAATTAAACCAAATCTGCAATGCTCAACTAATTGTTTATGTGCATGCACATTTCAAACAGGTGTCGCTGGCGCGCAAGGCCAAGCAGAGTCTATGGAACAATAACAAGCATTTCGTGTATTGGTGCCGTTATGGCAGTCGCCAGCAGGATGTGCGCAAGCGACAGGTAACGACGAGTGCGAATCACGTGCTGCTGCATTTGATCAACTGATAAGCGACGGCGCCTATATACTCTAGCTGTATATAGGTAGCAATATATTGTATAATTCCAAATGCCCGCCACACACTAAAATTAACCCACACAAACACACACAAATTGTTGTAGTTGCAGCAGCAAAGACTTGAACACACACACACACAACACACACACACACACACACACACGTTCTTTGGTCAAATCGCAAAAAAGTATTCTATTCCATGCTTGAATATCACAACTGATCTTAACAAAAGCCAGCATCCATGCCAAGACACATGCATCTAAACAATTAATTATGTTAAGAAGCTAACAATTAATTTTTTGTTTTTTTGTTTGTTGTTTTTGTTTTTGTTTTTTGTATCATTAATTGCATTTTGTAGCAGCAGCCAATTGTGTCTGGGGTGCACAGCAACAAATTGATCGCAAGCGTATTAAATGCGAAATTCAATTATTATTAAACCGTTGACTAATTAACCGAATGCAAAATCTTACAAGTAATCCCTATATCTTGCAGATGTCCGAGTGCGTGAAATGGGGCAGCGTTGGCATGAATGCGGGCATGTTGCTGGTGCTCAATAATAGGCAAAAATGCCACTCCCACTCAAAGTAACTAACACAATTACACAACTCTTTTCTAGTGCATATGTATATGTACACGCTATCACACACACACACACACACACACACACACACACATGCATACCACATTGCTTTAGCTAGAGGAACGTAAAGACAAAAAACAAACAAAATCCAAAGCAAATTGTGATAAGATAGATCATGTTTTAAACAGCGACAAGCGACAACACACAGCAGAAATATTTATTTACATATGTACATATGTAACGCGAGAGAGAGAGAGAGAGAGAGAGAGAGAGAGAGAGAGAGAGAGAGAGAGCGAGAGCGAGAGAGAGAGAGAGCAGGCTCTCAATTTGTTACTTGTTTTTAATTGGCAGTATTAAAATAATATATCAAATAACTGGCCTACAACAGCGTGAACACACACACATACACACACACACACACAGACGTACACACACACACACTTGCAACTATTGTCTTTAATACATTTGCTGTTGCAACTTAGGCTACAATATGCAAAAAAAAAAAAAAAAAAAAAAAAAAAAAAAAATTATATTTAAATTTGTATATTTGACAGAGAGAGAGACACACTGTGAAATTCGAAAAGACTTATTAACAATTGGTTGTTCTTTTTTTTTTTTTTTTATTATAATTATTACCATTATTTTTATTATGTATTATCGTAGCAATTATTATACACCTATTATTATGATTACTTTGTAATAGGAATTAATACTATGCAGGCATTATAATTTTTTCTTGTTTCTTCGATATAAGCGCAGTCTAAACACATTTCAAGTAAACTTTAAATAAAAAGAAAAAAAAAAAAAAAAACAAACAAAATGCAGCTAATAGCGTTCGCAACACTGTTTGCAGCATACTTTTGTGCGCCGTGCTTAATTCCTGTACATAGGCACGCAAAACACGACACAAAGCAAATATCAACCACACACACACACACACATACACGCGCTCACACAAAAACTCACCACACACACACATACACGCGCACACACAAAAAGTCACCACACACTAGATTCATGCCTTACGCAACGTAACTTCACGTAATATTCGTTGTAATCAAGAAATAAGTTTGTAGTTCGACACACACACGCACACACACATACGCCCACATATATACGTTTACCTACATCTTATGTAATTTTGTTTTTAGTCTCTTAAGCGATTTTTAAAATATTTATATATAATATACGATATACATTTGGCAATGTGAAATTTGAATATGAAATGTTTGTAAAATGCTTTATATTTGGATAATATTAAATGTTTACCAAACGGAAGACTTTTACTTAATCAATTGCAAAATGAGCTTATTCCAGCATTTAAATTAAAAAAAAAACCTATGTATCGCCTTTCTAACTGGAAGTTCCAAAGCGAGAAGCTAAGCATATCGCAGCAAGCACGAACGAGCGCTTGTTTCTCCAAAAGCAAAATGTGTCAAACAAACAAAATATTGCTTTTATTATTTACTAGTTATATTATGTGTATTGTCGGTACTTTTCATAATGGACTTCACGATAACTAAACAAAATCCATATTCACCAAATTAACTGCAACCCAGGGTTGCATTTGTTGACACGCAGTAAACAACGTGCAGACGAGCTTTTAGCCTATACGAAATCCATTTTGTGGACATTCATTTCTGGTACACACATATTTGAGGAAATTTCTCGACGATCGGATAACAAACATACAACTTACTTAAGGTAAAAATTCGATTCAAAAACAGAGAATAAAGAAAAGTGCCAATTGTTTGTGTGGGTGGTGGGTGGTAGGTGGATGCGGGGTGTGTTGAAATACTTATAAAACACACCACATACATAAAACTCACCTCGCGCAGCAATCCGAAGAGCACATCCGTTGAGAGCGATCGCTCGTGCGCCTCATCCATAATAATGGCCGCGTAGCTATCCAGATCCGGATCGCGCAGGCTCTCACGCAATAAAATACCATCGGTCATGTACTTGATGACGGTGCGCTCCGAAGTGCAGTCCTCAAAGCGTATGGCATAGCCGACATCCTCGCCTGCAATAAATTCGATGCGCATTAGTTAAATCTATGCAGTGTACAGTGTGCGTACGATATGATGAACCGACTTTTTGATAATTGTTTAACTTAGAGCAGCTTTAGGCTTTATAGACAAGGCATTTTGTGCTGACAAACTGATAGATTGACGATTGGCCCAATAAAGAGTCCAAGCCGGACGTCCACAACAGTTAATTTTTATGACGTTAGTGAACACTGTGACGGGATTTTTGGAAATTGAAAAGTATTTTATGAGAGGTTTTGGTCTACGCGCGATTGTCTTTCTAGTTACTTTTCAACGATTTACAGACCACGAGAAGTCCACGTTTATGAGTGGAAAATGGGTGGAAAACGGGTGAAAGTGAAAGCAGCAAAAAAAGACTTTAGAGAGAAGCCAATCAAGTCTCTAGAGGATTAACTATGCATTCCAGCTGTCGATTCGGTTCATCAACAGCAAAGAGACGCCGTATTTGCAGTATTCACTGTACACAGTACGCACCCAATTGTGTGTCCATCTCATCGGAGACGCGCTTCGCCACAGACATGGCGGCCACACGGCGCGGCTGGGTGCAGCCAATCATGCCGCGCTTGCTGTAGCCATCCTCGTGCAAATATTGGGTTAGCTGCGTCGTCTTGCCGCTGCCGGTTTCGCCGACAATGATGACCACCGAGTTCTCGCGTATGACATTGAGGAGCTCTTGGCGCGAGGCAAAGACTGGCAGGAAGCGACGCTGCTCGCCGATGGTTTTCTTGCGTGAGAATTCGCTTTTGCCGCCGCTTTTGGTGTCCTGCATGTCGCGCATGTGATCCGCAAACTTTTGATCCTTGCGATAGTCGGCGGTGTCGTGTTCCTTGTCGAATTTGGCATCATCCTCATCCTGCGGCCGCTGCACGCCCATTATGTTGCCCAGCTTAGTGCCGCCCAGCTCCCAGTGCTTCTTTTGCGCCTTGCGGCGCTCCTTTTGCTCCCGATAATTGCGCACCAGGGCGCTGCCTTTGCGCGCCAGCAATGCCATATCGGAGGTGGGATCTTTGACTGGCACCACCGGCTCCGGCTGCTTGGTGAACACAATGCGTCCGTCCAAAAATGGTGGCACTATATGATGCACCAGCAAATGGACGCGCTCGAGCGCCTCCTCATCGAAATCGTCGCTGACATTGATCGAGGTGACAACGCCCGATGTGAGCATCCGATTGCGCTCCCACAGCTCATTGTCCCGGTTGTTCTGTCGCTGCTGGGCGCTGATGCGCTTTTTGCGCTTCTGCTCCAGCTGTTCCTCGCGCCGGCGATAGTAATCGGCATTGGTGCCGCCAAACGGATTGTTCTCGTCATCGTAGCCCTCGTCAATGTTATACCATTCGCGGTCGAGGCGTCGCTGTTCCTCCTCCCACAGGTCACGGGACTCGGCATCTCCGGTCCAGGGCGTGGCACCGCTGCGCTTGCGATCGTGTGCCCATTGATTATAGCGATGCGCTGGCGTTGCGCGCGCTGTGTCATCCGCATTGAAACTCCGGCTGCGACTGTTGCCTCTATCGGACCAATCGCCGGTGCCGTAGCCGGAGCCAGCGCCACGTGGCGTTGGGAAGTCCCAATCAGATTTGCGAACACCGCCGCCCTCGGCATCGTCATCGTCCCAGGAGCTATTTAACACACCGCCAGTGCCACCTGGTGTACCCGGCTCCCTGGGCGTGTGCAGGCTACGCACCGAAGCAGAACGATCCCGATCACGTTCTCGATCCCTGCGTCTGCCGTCTCTGTGGGACTGTTCCTGATCCTGTTCCCGTGCTCGCTTGCGTCGCTCGTCGCCGCGTCGCTGTCTGTCCCGCTCACGCTCTCTATCCCTGTCTCTATCCCTCTCGCGATCCCGTTTACTGTCTGAGTCATCGCGCGTCGTCTTGTGCACTGCACCCTTGTGCCGGTCCCGATCCCGCTGGATGTGCTCGCGCAGCCGTTCTCTGGCCTTCTCCGAGACGCCGCCCGTGTGCGATGGCGTCTCGTCTTTGTGCTCGCGCAGCTGACGACTCAGCTTCTCGAAGCTCTTAGTGTCCGGTTTCTTAAAGGCAAATTCGCTGGCAGGCGTTGTGGCGTTAGGTGTGCTTGAGGGCGTGCCACCGTCATCGTACTCAGTGTCCTGAAAGGAGATCAGGCGCTCGGCACACGCCTTTTCAGCGCGTCGCTTTGCGGCTAGCTTGTCCAGGCCAAGTAGCGAGCCCTGCGGAACTTTAAAGCAGCCGCCGCTTCCGCTGGCACTGCTGCTGTCCTTGGGCCTCTTGAGCACCAGGCCGCCGCGCTGCTCCTGGACCATGGTGCCCTCCAAGCGATGCACGCCTGCATCATCCTCGGACATGCTATTATTACGCGATTAATAAGATTTTCTTTTGTTTGCGCAAAACGATTCATGCGCGTTTTACAATAGAGGTGGCAAACTATCGATATATTTATGCAAATAGCGATAATTTTCATTTGCTCTGGCTGTCGATGTTTTTCTTGGCGCAATTGAATCGTAACACCCGTAACACCCTAACACCACTTACACATATAAAACAACTTCTAAATAACTGTCAGTACGTTTTTCCAATATTTCGTCATAAATATATCTACATTTCTATTGCGGCGCACCATTCAACTGCTTTTAAACGTATTGATTAATTTGGTACTGTGTGTATATTCTAATAGACATATCGATAGCATTCCATCTCTATTTTAGGACACAGCTGAGCTGCATCGAAAGCGCGTGCTGCCAAGTCGGGCCTATCTATGGGTGGCACAAGTGCAGCAAACAGTCTGGCAACGCTTGCCAGCGCCAATGGCGGCGAAAGTAAATCCGAAAGCTCAACTTAATGATTTTAATCGTTTATTTAATTTGCATTTATATAACAGATTAGTCTTTGCTCTCCAATTTCTCCGACACCGTTTGAGTTATCCAATTCAGATATGGCAGATTTCCAGCCTGTATGGGCAGAGAAATTACCTCGGCCACGCTATATGGATGGTTCTCGCGAACAAACTTGCTCAGCTCATCAATGCGAGCGGTCCGTGTCTTTATCATCATAAGATACTCGTTATCCTCGTTTACCTTACCCTCCCACATGTAGATGGACTCGATTTGCGGTATAATATTCACACAGGCCGCCAATTTGCGTTCGATGATGCCATGCGCCAGTTTCTTTGCCGACTCTTTGTCGGGTGTGGTTACAAACGCAACGGAGCTGGTGCCGGCGATGTAAGCTGGATCACACGCCTTGTCGCTCATTTTGTTATTTTGATTTTGGCTGAACGAGCTACTAGCCGATGTGCAAGTGGTTGTGCTTGTGGCAAAGGCCGTGCGACTTGTGACAGCGGCAGTAGCGGCAGCAACAAGTAATAAATTGCGTGCGAGTAGCCAACGACAGGGCACCGACCTTGCGTTTCTCAGATATTGCATTAAATGCACTTTGCTCGGCCAATGAAACGTTGCGAAATGAAAACAACACAAAAGTCGGCGATGTCAACCGTAGCCCGACAAATGAAATCATGCTATCGATAGTTGTTGCTTGTTTGTTATCGATATAATACGCTTTACACGCACGCCATATTGGAAATCAGTTTGCCAACTTTTGAAAATATTTTTTTTAAACTAAAATCTTATGGTTTCAGAATTTGTGAATATTAACTTGAACCTATAGTTTTAAAAAACCTCTATGTCACCAATACCTGGGCTGCAGATGCAAACAGTTCACTTAGACACTTGTATTTTAAAGCAAATTTTGAAATATGACTATCAATAAATATATGATAGTATTTTGCATTCAATTTGTTTAAAAAATCTATTCTCGCACATATTTATAAAGGTATATTAATCATAAATATAATATGTGTCTGTGGCTCAGACAAATATAATCAAAAGTGATTTGGGTATATGCAAAAAAAAAAAAAAAAATTAAATAAAAAAATGTAAATATAATTATTTAATAGTTTTTGTGCTTAAGACTAAATGATGTTATTTATTTATTTTATTTTTTTTGCTTTTCTTCGTTGCGGTGCGCTGTGCAGTCAGTGGAGCTCAATTTACAACGCGCACACCGAAGTGCTTGATATTGGAGCGAGTGTGTCCACATGGGGAATACTCTGATATTCCTGCACATGTGGAATTCCTTGCGGTCCTAGTCCGTTTCGTGTTTATCCGACTCGGATTTAGCAGCTACTTCGCCTGCCGAGGGCGGCGGCTGTGCAGCGGGCGCAGCACCAACTGACGGTGGCGCCGCCGCCGCCGCCGCTACTGCTGCCGTTCCTGCTGCTGGCGCTGGCTGTGTTGGCGGCTGTGGCAACGGATGAGGCTGTGCCGGCGGCTGTTGCTGAGCTGAGCCGTACACAGCGCCAGCTACTGGCGCCCCCTCATGCATATGTCCCGGCGGCGGCGGCGGCGGCGCTTGTTGTGGTGGTTGCTGCTGCTGCTGCTGCGGTGTTGGTGGTGGTGGCTGCTGCTGCTGTTGTTGTTGTTGTGGCGCACCTGGTGGTGCATTGACACCGCCATGCTCCCTGGCGCTGGCAAAATGCAGCGGCGTATATGGCTGATAGGGCGGCAGGTGTGGATAATAGGGCTGCGGCCGCGAATGCGGCCCATACTGTGGCTGATAGTAGTGCGTGTGCGAGTGCTGGCCCGGCCCAGGGCCACCATAGTTAGCATACCCCATGTGCGGCAACGGTGGCGGCAGTCCGGGCATGCCACCGGGCGGCGGCTGCTGCGGCTGTTGTTGCTGCTGCTGCGGCGCCATGTGAGGCGGCAGGTGTGCTGGGTGTGAGCCTGGCGGCGGCGGTCCACCTACGTGAGCATGCGGATGCATTTGAGGTGCTCCTCCTGCTCCTCCTGGTGCCGCTGCTATTTGCGGCGGCGGTTGCTGTGGTGGTGGTGCTGCTGGTGTTGCAGCTGCTGGTTGATGTTGTTGTTGTTGCTGCGGCGGCGGTGGCGTGGGTGTTGTAGCTGGCGGCTCACTGCTTAGTGGCGGCGGCGGTGGTGTTGCCGCGGGCGTCGCTGTGGGCGTAACTGGCTTGCCGGGCACAGCGGTTGCTGTTGTTGGCGTCTTGAGCGATTCCTTTACGTGCTCGTTCAGTGGCACCGGAGGTAGATCCAGTTTGTCATGCTTTACGGGCGGTGGTGGCGGCGGCACAGATGGCTTTGGCGGCGGCTCAATGTCCATGGGCTCTGGATCCGTTTTGCTGGCCAGCTCGTGTACGGGTGGTTGCGGCGGCGGTGGCGGAGGTTGCGGTGCCACCACCACCGGCGGCTTGGCCGGCTCCGGTTTGGGTGCAATGCTCGCTTCCGGCGCCGCAGGCTGCTGCTGTGGTGCCTGCGGCTGCTGCTGCGGCGGCTCCTCTTTGCGATTGGGCGCCTCCTCCATGCGTTGACGATCGCGTTTGATATCCTCGTACATGCGATGCACCATTTTCTGGAATGTGTCCTCATCCACGGCAGGCTTGCAGTGCCGCTTAAGCTCCTCCTGGAAGGCATCGCTCGATTCGAGCATGCGCTGCTTTTTTGCCTCGAACTTCTCCTCCATTTGCTGCAGCTCCGCCTCCAGCTTTGTCTGGTGCATGGTCAGCGAGCTGACCTGACGCTTGAGCACCTGCATGCGCTGCGTTGTCACCACGGATCGCACATCGGGCACCACCGCCTCGGAGAATATTTCGTTGATAAGGCGATGATTGCGCAAATAGCGCGCGTATGCCATATGCTTGGCCGTATATCCCTCATCCAGATCATCCTCATCCTCTGCCGGCTGTATATCAATGCGACGCTCGTGCTGGCTCTTGCTGCCGCCGCCACGGGATGGCGTCTCATGCACATCAGTTATCTCGGGTTTGACTTTCGATTTGGCCGAGATGTAGGCCTGATAGGCGGGCGTCTGGTGGTATGCCTTCAATGCCTTCTCATACTCCAGCTTCTCCGCCTCGTACTCGTCGACATATTCGGTTCTTTCGTCCTCATTAAGCTGCTTCCACATGACGCCTATCTTTTTGCCAAGCTCCCACAGCTTGAGCTCCGGATGCTGCGCCTTAACGCTGTCCCAAACACGCTTCGAGTAACGCATATATGGCAATATGGGCTTCTCTGGCGGCTTCGGTGGCTTTGGCAAACGCGATTCGCTTTGGGTCTTGCTGCTTGAGGATTTGGTCACTTTTTGCGGCGTAAACGCCGGATTGCTATAGTTGCTGTGCGTAAATATGGGCGTTTGATCCTTATTTCGATCGCCAGCAGCGCCGCCGCCAGATGAACGCGACCGGCTGCTCCCACTGCCACCGCCGCCGCCGCCAACAGCTCCGCCGCTGGGTAGCGGGGTTGCCGGCCCTGTTGGTGCCCCAACGGCGATTTGCTTGTAGTTGCTGGGCAGCGCCATGTTTAGTAACATATATGTATAGTTATATTCTTAACTTTTTAGTGCGGATTGCAATTTGCATATATATCAAGTAAAAACAACAAAAATATAGCTAAATTCACGCGGACGCCATTGATGGGTTTTTCTCTATACTGAAAATTGGAGATGGCACTCAACGCGTCACAACAATCGCAATTCGATAGTTTATATGCCACATTTGATACGTTTTACAGCACTAAGGGCTGTTAACACGCCGGCATATCATTGGCTAGAGTTGACAATTCGAGTTCAACTCGATGAACACGTTCAGCCTTTAATTTCTCAGTTGTAAACATTATTAGCCTGCAATTAAGTAAACATGCTCCGTTATTAATGAACACTATATTTGATTAACTTGCAAATTAGCCATTTATTTTTAACAGCAGACTTATTATACATAATACATAGTTTTTCAGCAACAAGTTCATTTCAATGACTTGTTCAATTGAACTGATTCTGAACGGAACAGCACAGCTTTGTCATCGGCCAAACGGAATACGTAATGAATTTAAAATACTTCTATATTTTGGACAAAACCATACTTTTTGGCCGAAGTAACAACGTTAAGCGTTAATAAATAAATCGCACATAATTCTTGATAAGCACACTAGCTGTTCCTATGCCCGTTCAATCGTCTGCCTCTAACACAATCAGTTGGCTCCCAACACTAGTCGGAGGCAGAAAGAAGCACGAAACATTTTTATATTTTGGGTAGCAAAAATGAATCGAATTCGTATATGTTTACGCACCGCGGTGAGCAGACATGGTTACAGACGTGCGCCAGGACGCGCACCATTTAATATCTCGGCCATGCAGCTCGCAACGGGCAGCAACAATTACAGCGGCAAACAGGAATTACATATTTGCCGATTTTGCAGCAATCTGCCGGAGCCCGAATATGTCGTTGATGACAACACGTACGACCGTGTGTGCTCGGAGACGCTGGATGCACTATCCGATTACTTTGACGAACTAACCGAGAATGCTGCAGATATTACCGGTTCGGATGTGGTCTATGGCGTAAGTGCGAATCTTGCAAGGATTGCATTATGTAAGTTTCAATTGGCCTCTGTTCTAATCGCAGGATGGCGTGCTCAGCGTTAATCTGGGCCCAGTCAATGGCATGTATGTGATCAATCGCCAGAAGCCCAACAAACAGATATGGCTGAGCTCACCAGTTAGTGGACCCAAACGCTTCGATTATATTGTTCTGCCAGGCGAGGCCAACGGCCGATGGGTCTACAAGCATACCGGGGTGACGCTGCACGAGATGCTCCAGGAGGAAATAGGTCAAATCTTTAGAGAGCAATCGGTTAACTTCCTGAAGCTGCCCTAAATTGCCACCAATCAGTCTTAGAGTTTTTCATTTAGTTAGTTTATCTAGTTAGATTTTCACTCTGTTCATTGTGGGCAATCCTACACGAGCTGGCGGGTGGCATGTTACTTGTTAATGATATAAAGACAAACAAAAAATTAAAGTATGGTCAAAAAACGCAACTGAATTTCATTCGATGTATTCACGTGTTTGCTGCCGCAAACGAAGATAGAGGCTTCTTCTAAAGACCACACTACCCGACATGGGGATTCCCAGCTGCTAGACACGCCCACTAAGGTAACATTGCCTCTAATTGTTGACTCTGTTTAAGCACATTTCATTTTGACTATATATCTGCAATCTTTCACTACAGCTCAGAACGAGTTCAGCGACCAAGCCGAAATGGGCGGAGCTTCGAGAATTTCAAACCCTCCAATTTGATTTGCTTTGGGGATGCTGATCAGGAATATATATATATACAATATATATATAACCCATTTCTGATGGATAGAGCAGGCACAAAGCATTGACTCGATCTCTGGAGAGTTTCTCAGCTGTCGATCTGTTTAAATTTGACGACTTCAGCTTTGATATATTTGTCTGATATTGATTTTAGGGGCGACCACGCCCACAAGCGAGTGGACAGACACGTGTAAATGTGAAGATTGCACAAATTGACCTATATGGTCATTTCCAAATCCTGATCGGAAAGTCATTGCAAACTATAATAAAAGCAAGAGTAGGCATATTTTTTCCTGTCCAGTCGACGCCCAATGCCTGTGCCCAGCTGGAATCTCAGAGGGGCAGTTAGCTCTCAACCCTAGTCGAAGGCAGAACTAAAAAGTATATATGTTTATATATTTTTTAAAAGTAGCTAATATTTCGGCCTTTGTGATATGAATCGCATTCGTCTATATTTACGCGTCGCGGAAGCCTTAGGTAATATTAATTGTCAACGACGTTTCGCCGGACTTGCACCATACAAACTTTCCGATCTAGCGGATCTATCTGGCAGCAGCAGCAGCAGCAACGACAACGACAACATGGATATCTGCGTTTTTTGCGGAAATCCGATCGATGCTGATTACATCGTAGACGATGCCACATACGATCGTGTGTGCGCCGAGACATTGGATACACTATCCGATTACTTTGACGATTTAATCGACAGTGCCGTTAATCTGCCCGACTACGATGTGGTCTATGGCGTAAGTAGATTGGATCTTTGAATCAAGGCTGCTAGCCCCAACCGGAAGTACCACTTTAATCCTAACCATGCGCCAATTATTTCATCTAACCAAATTTGGTAGATGCCATTTGTGGGCGAATATCAAATTTAGCCCGCATTTTCTATAGGAAAATATCTACGGCTTGCAATATTTTCACTAGAACGGGCAATTATAAATAAAAAAGTATGATTATAGCCAAGGTTTGAACCATATTCTGGCTCAAATCGTAAGGCAAACCATATTGAACTCGCTTTGAAATAACCGCATGAATTCGTCGAATCTTCTTAATTTGTACCCTTATGCGTTTGCAGGATGGGGTGCTTAGCGTGGATCTGGGCCCAGTCAATGGCATGTATGTGATCAATCGCCAGAAGCCAAGCAAACAAATTTGGCTGACCTCTCCGATCAGTGGACAGAAGCGCTATGATTACATTCTGCCGCCCGGCCACGGCACCGGTCATTGGATCGATCAGGAAACTGGCGAAACGCTGCACGAGATACTGCAAGAGGAGATGGGTCAAAAGTTTCGAGGTCAATCCGTTAACTTTCTGATGTTGCCCTATACCAGCCACAACTGATCTCATGGGATTAGTTATCGTAGATGAGGCTTAGTTACACACTTATTTAAAACCGCGGGACGTGTTAGTGTGGGGCAAGACTTAATGCTAAGACAATAAAATGAGAAATAAACTATTTAAAACCCAATTAAACTGCGTTCATTTTATTTTGCATACATAGACAAATGTTTGCTGCGCGATTTCTATTGCTAAAAAAAAAAAAAAGAAAAATGTTGCTTTTATTTGAAATATCCGATGCTAGGGCTGTGTGTGCTTACATAACTATATATATATTATATATAATATTTCGGCTCCAAATCAAAATATTCAACACGCTGTATATGCCCCGTCTACAGCTAAAGAGATGCTTAGAATTAACATTTGTTGTTTTCTTTATTATAAACGGCGGGCAATCTAGTAGAAAATTGCCCATCTATTGATGGTTGCCGTACACGTTGTTGTAGTGCGGCGGCTGTTGCGGCTGCTGTTGAGCCATATAGTTCTGGGGCAGATTGTTATACGGCGGTTGCGGCGGTCCATTATTGGCCCAAGGATTGATTTGGCCAGGATAACCGCCGCCGCCGCCGCCGCCGCCCATGGGCGGACCATAGGCATTGTAGTTGCCCATATTGTAAGGCTGTTGTTGTTGTTGTTGTTGTGGCTGTTGTTGCGGCATGCTTGGATAGTTGCTGGGACCGCTGGACAGCTGATCGGCGGCATAGCTATAGTAGCTGCCATTGCCGGTTCCATTATTAGGTCCATATTGTGATTGCGGCGGCGGCGGCTGCAGCTGCTGCGGAGGTTGTTGTTGCTGTTGTGGGCGCTGTTGTGCGAGGTTGGACATGTTAGGCATATTTCGCATCTGCTGCTGCTGCTGCTGTTGCTGTTGTTGCTGCTGGGCCTTGGCCGCGCTGCTTGCCTGATTGCTGTTGTTGGTCAGCGTGCCCATTAGATTGGCTATTATGTTCTCTGTATCCTTCAGTGAGATCTTTGGCGCCGCCGGCTTAAAGGTCAGCGAATTGGGCGACATGGTGGCCGCCACAACGTTGGGCATCGTTGTGGTTTTCTTGCCATTGGAATCGTTCGCCTTCATCACCAGATCATCAAAATTGTAATCATCATCGTCATCGTCGTCCAGCATAAAATTGGGTGAATTGCGAGAACCAATGCCACGTCGCTGCTGCTTGGCCGCTGTGGGCATATCGCGGTCCACGCTCTTGCGGCGCATGGCAGACACGAGTTCGGCCGCCGCGTTGGTTGAGTATGAGATGCGTGTGTTGCTGCTGGCGGCGCGTTCATTTTGGCCGGGCCGACCGATGGCGACGACACGTGACAGATAATCGCTGCAGGATTCACCGTCGCTGCTTAGCTCCGCAATGTTAACATATTTGCGCAAACGCTCAACGCGTGGCGGCTCCAGTTTCTCCAGTTTGCGCAAATGGCCAATTAGATGCACCTGCTCCTCGTTGGACAGAAACTTAAAGTTCTGCAACAGTGTCTGCAGATCGGAATCGGTCAGGGACTCCATGCTGTTGCCAGCATCGTTGGAATTCGATTTGGGCGTCAGCTCGCTATTGCCAGCCTCCTTGGCCAGCTGATGTTCCACCTCCTTCATGAGCTCACAGATATCAATGTCCAGGACACCGCCATCATCGTCATTGCTGGTGCTTGCCGCCAGGCCCATTCGGCTCGGCACCTCGGCAAAGCTTAGCCCGCTGTTCCGGTCGCTCTGGCGACGCACATGATTCGTCTTCACCAGCAGCGTGTAGAAGTGCAGCAGCTTGTTCATATCATCGGTGCTCAAATTGTCGAGGCCATTCATGACCAAAGCGCCAGCCAGTTTCGAGGAAACGAGCTGTCTATCGAAGGGCAGCTGGTATTCCTTCTTCTTGGCCAAGTCCGTGTGCTTTGGCTCCTGTTGTGCCGTCTCCTTAGCACCTGGCGTGTGTGTGAGTGTTTGTTGTGGTGGGTTGGAAAAGGAAGAAGCAACACAAAATGTACAATTAATTCGTTTATTAATACAAGCACATAATTATCTGTACGCATCGAAAATCAAAAGCATATACAAGACAAAAAAAAAAAAGAAAACAACTAAAGTATTACATACAATTCAAATTTGGCGGCCATTGAGAGGAGGAGGTGCGGCATATGCGACGCTTCCAGCTGTTTGCGACAGGGCACTTAACCAGGACATTTTTCCTTTTCATTTTTTATACGTTTTTTTTTTGTTTTTGTTTTTTTTTTTTTGTTTTTAATAAATTTATTGACACTTTGAGCACTAACCTGAGTACGCTGAAACGGACCGTATCACTGCACCGAGAGCCCACATAACGCAACCGAAACACTGAACCAGTAAAAAAAATAATGACGGATCACAGACAGATTGTATATTGTTCAGATGGGTATATACGAAATGAATATACAACCGTTTGCTTTAAATTCGATGTACTAGCAAAATCAAAGAGTAACAACTTAAAAAATCACTTGTTTAATATTTCAGAGACTTTTAATTCTAGGATAGACAATTGTTATATATATATATATACATATATATATAAAAAGCGAATCTGAAAGATCAAAAATCAAAAACACACAGCTTACTTGCTACTCAGATTTCATATGGCTTTTAACTCAACAAACTCTCAACTCAAGCCATCGAGGAGACGCATAAATCAGTCAAAAATAATGACTGCTCGACAGTTTTTATAGATGGGCGCAATTTAGAAACAAATTGCATGCCCCAGCACATTGCAAAGTTGATCGATTTTCTTATTATAAGGCGGGCATAAATAAAAATCAATCGACATTTATCGATGCAAAAGTTGTTCTGCTCAATAACTCGGAAACAGCTCAAGTTAAAGATCTGCTGCTTAAGTCGGAATTTCAAATTCCAGTTCAACACAATATTTCTTATAGATATCGTACAAAAGACCTCAATAACAAGTCTCATAATCGCAATTATTTCAAACACGAACCGAATTTGTTTTAGGCATCAAATACTGGAAACCCGCCCCCGTTATAAGTTGTGCACGAAATTCGAAACGTTTGGCAACCCTGGCAATGCGAAATCACAAAAAAAAAAAGAAGAAGAACAACAAGGCACACATAAACTAAAGTTCAGCAGGGTTGAGAGCAGGTCAAACAGATCGCATAAAGGATTGAATATTTTTGCCTTTGCCAAGAATTGTGACTGGCTGCAGGATTAGACCATGTGTAGATGTTTTATTTGCAGTCCTTGGTAGCAAAAATATTTATCCAAAATATGCGCAACTGTCTGAGCGACCTCTACCCCGCCCTGCCCCGCCCCATCCCGCCAACCACCCGCCTCCCGTCACGCCGGCAACGAGCAATATATGCTTACCTGAGCTGGGAGAGACAAACGCTTGGGTATCTGTAA